AAGGATATGTAGCCAAAAATAATTATTTTATTATAAGTCTTATAGAAGAAAATCAAAGAACTAAGAAAAAGATTCATGATCCCTAGGGAAGGTATGTCTGAAGAGACGAAGAGTAAGGTGAGATTTAAAAGATGAGAAGGACCTAGCCACACAGAGTGAACAATTCAGGCAGAAGGAATAGCATATAAAAAGATCTTGAGGGTGACACCATGTAAACTTTCAAAAAACTGAAAATTCATCAATGTGTTGGAATACACCATTAGGAAGAGTGGAAGCAAAGGAGATCAGAAGGCAGCAGAGGCCAAACACTAAATACCAGGATAAAGAGTTTTTCTTTTATTCTAAGTGCAAAGGAAGGAAGACACTGTGGGGTTTTAAGCAAGAAAATGACAAGCTCCTCAGACTTAATCCACAACTTACAAAAGCAAACTGAAGAATGATAAGAATTTCTGAAAAATATTTAAAAACTGTTTAGTAAACTAAGAATATAAGTACAAACTGAAATAGCTAGGTGTAGTGGCTCACTCCTGTAATCCCAGCACCCAGGAGGTTGAGGCAGGAGGATCACCATGAGTTCAAGGCCAGCCTGAACTACATAGCAAGACCCTGTCTCAAAGAACAAACAAACAAAAAACAAAAACAAACAACCCCCCAAATAAACTATTCCCTATTGTGACTGAAGTTATTAATTATCCACAAACCAAAAACCCTTTTGATAGTTAATAAAGATTCCATTCATTTCTTTCTTTCACACCTGTCCTCAATCTGCAATGGATAAAGTGACCCCCTAAAAACATATAACAGAGAAGAGTACATGAAGTAGGTGGGAAAGGTTAGAGTAATTGAGAAAGCTAGCCATAGTCAGGGTTAGCCAGGTTTGGAATGAAAGCACAAATGTCTGACTTGTGAGCATCAGATTAAATGGGAGACGACTGAGACATTGTGGAAGAGATTTCGTGGAGATCAAGATTTCAGTATAATTAGGTGAGACACTGTGGCACAATGCTAGATGTTCTGGCACACAATCCATAAAGATATGTAAAGAATATTTAAATTTATATATCAGATAATTATTCTTACAGATCAAGCTACCCTTGGGGGTAAAAGGTCTTTGTCACTTTGTAAGCTTTTGGCTGGAGTGCTAGGGTTTTTCTCCTCTCTTGAAACTGCTTAATTCTTTTGATATTTTCTTCGTTTTTAAAAACCTGGTTCATATTAATGAATTACTTGGCACTAATTAACATCACTGTTGTTAATCTAACGAAGTGTTTCTATTTTCACATGACACATCAAACAATTAAAATTATTTTCTCTCTAAAGAAAGAAGTTTATTCCCAAAAGAAACGGCCATGGAGAAATGGTGACATGCTAAAATCACCATTATCTTTCACTCATGACAGATTAAAAATGTACATGATAGTTGAACTCTCCCAAATGTATCAGGTTTTTTTTTGTTTTTCATTATGTCTTATTTTGTGTTTTAAAAACAACAAAACAAAATTATAATACCATGAGATAGCATGTGCTAAGAACAACTTTCAATCTTCAATTTTTCTCAAAAAATAAAGGATAGCTTATTAAATGTCAACTGTGACCGTGATCACAACTAATTATCTTTAATTTCACAGCAACTGACAATAAGTAGGAACAAAAATGATGAATACCTACTGTTGCCAGGTAACTGCATCCACTGTGCTTCCTGCCACCTTCATGAATCTGTAAGGAACATAAAAAAAAAAAATAAAAGGTAGTACAACTTAAAGTAAATGGTATCATCAAGGTTAAAATAAGGTAAACTGAGACACAGATTGGACCAATCCTGGAGCTGCTATGCACTCTGAGAGGATCCAGAGCCATAATCATTACCTACCCATAGCATTGGAGACCAAAATATAAAGGTGGAAGTAACTGTACTTTCAGCTACCCACCCCAATATAGTATTTTACCTATGTCTGACTTCCCAAGTTAAGTCTAATGTTTCTCAAATTGATCTTTCTATAATTACAACTACTTATCTGTATAATTTCCAATTCTCTAAGGACTCTGATCCCTGCTAGAAAACAAACAGCAACATTTCCCAAGGATGACACTACAATAGATGTCAAAAATTGACATCTTTGCAAAATTGCAGGCCTCTTTCCCTATAGAAAAATATAGGGGAAAAAACAGATCAGTATCCAAAGCACAACTCCTGCTACATATGTGTGGTAAGCAATGGACACCTGACAATGCTGTTAGAAATAAGAAGTCTTAGAAATAAAGAAGATGAAATTTTGTACCTTGTTCCCAGGACACTGTAAAAGTTAGTAAACCTAGATAATCTTAGACCCAAAACTCATTTGGATATATATAGAGCCACAAATTGGAAGGAATATGACAAATAAAAATTAAATTTGGATATTTAAAAAAAATTTGGTTGCTTATGAATGA